AATCAGTATTGCCAATTATTGGTAAGAGAGAGAGCTAGAATCATAACATTTCGGTCATCAAAGTATTGGTTGTGCACTAGTCATGCATCAAAATGGTATCAGTAATGTTTATTATGCTGAATGATGCTGACAAATTAGTGTACAGTCCTACCAAAGTATAGTTTGGTTCTGAGGCCTCTGATCAGTGGGAAGAGAAAGGGGAAATTTCTTTTTTTTTAATTGTTTCATAAACCTCGTGTCATGAATATGACCAATAACAAAATAAATGACAGCACCATATTTTACAGTTTATAACTTTCATTAATTTTTAAAAAATGGCTCAAAGAACTTGCTGAAACCAAACAATCATAGAGGCTGTATGATGAGCAGATCTAAGAGCTATTTTAATATTTAATGAGGCCAAAAGCCTCTTACCACTAATCATCTTTTAATGGTACTTGCCCTTTGGCCTTATATATGCCTGTGTTTCTAAGGGACTAACGTTTTTGTCTTTCTAATGAATTATCATTCGTACAGTGAGTAAATGCAGTGGGCTGGAGCTGTTTGTGTGCATCTCCAGTTTAATTTCTGATAAAGTGAGAAGATGAAGCTTTGTTTGCATTCCTGATTCCTAATAACACATTACTTAAAACGGGGGTGTCAAAGATACAGCCCACAGTCAAGATCCAGCCTGCAGAGCCCTATCATCTGGCAACATGCCTCTGGGTCTCAGACTGGCTCCACACACTACATGCAGCACATGCTGACCCCAGCCCTGTACACTGCATGCAGCATGTGGAGTGGGTCTCGTGTATGCTACATGTGATAAGCAGGGCTGGTCCAAGGCAAACACTGCATGCAATGCTCACACCAGACCAGCTCTGTGTGCTGGTTCTGGAGCTGGTCCAGACTGGGTCCACGATTAACCCCTCACTCTAGATCCAGCTCCTTGTGGCTCATGGGGCTGAAGCTGGCACACATGGGGCCAGTCCAAGGCATACACACTGGCTCTGGCATGTGATGTGGGGCTGGTCTGTGGGCCTGATCTGGGCCAGTCCTGGATCCAGCAGGGAGATCTGAGCTGGCACAGGCTGCATGCAGTGCATGGGGTTGGAGACTGCATGCATGCTGCATGCAGTGCGTCAGGTTGGTCTGTGGTGCAGCCAGCCTATGGGCCCAGCCTCTGGACCAGCTTTTTGCTCTTCATCTGGAGCTGCATGAGTTTGATATCCCTGACTTAAAACATTATTTCCATGCTGTGTGGTACCTCACCACCAGAGAATTATCCTTGTTGCTTAATTAAACATGGCAACATCCAAACATAACCAGATGTGTGTATATGTACATCTTTAGTCTACAAAGTACTTAAGCACATGATAAAACTTGAGTATTTTCTTAAGTCCAATTGAAATCTGTAAGAGGTGGGCCCCAGTTTAGAAAGGTGCTTAAGCATCTGAGTATGTGGCATGCACGCAGTCACAGTCAGGGTTTAAATTACAGTCGGACTCTTGGGGCGGGTGGGCGGGGTCGGCGGCAGTGGCAGCCAGAAGGAGCCACCACTGCTGCCCCCTGAGCTGCTTAGAAAGGCATGGGGCAGGCCAGGGCTCTCATCTCTTATGGGGGAGCTTTTCAGGGTTCTCATCCCTTATGGGGGAGCTTTTCGGGGTTCTCATCTCTTATGGGGGGTTCAACACACCCCCCTCCCCCCGCGGATCCCCCGTATTTTGAACCCTGACATAGCCAGGCACATATGTAATAAATCCTGACTTTCAGACACCACATGCAACCCAGATATTCCAGGTCAGAGGAAGAGTGTCTAGTAATAAAACCAAGGGACAGCGATGAGGTCACCAACCCTGGGCGCCAAGCTCGGGGAGGAGCAAAAAATAGCAACCATTTCACTCCTGGCCCAGGCGGATCTGCTACCAGCAGCTCAGTTACTTTCTCTGGCCTGTGTACTACCACTGCGCAGGACGCAGAAATGTCCAGGTATGCCCCTGAATAAAATAGGTGACAAGGTTCTTTGGGTAGATGTGATATCTTTTATTAAACCAACTAAATAATTGGAAAAAATGTTCTTTGCAATTGGCTCTTTTGAGCACAAACACCCTGCTTCAGGTTTGTGTCCAAAAGCTTGCAAAGAACATTTTTTCCAACTATTTAGTTGGTCTAATAAAAGATATCACATCTATCCAAAGAACCATGTCCTTAGACCAGGGGCGGGCAATTATTTTGGGCAGAGAGCCACTTACTGAGTTTTGGCAAGCCACTGAGGGCCACATGACAGGCAGCCCAGGGCAGATAAATATTAATTTTCTAAATTTTTAGGGGCCCTGCAGGCCGGATTGAATGGCCTGGGAGGCCACATCCAGCCCCCGGGCCGCATTTTGCCACCCCTGCCTTAGACCAACACGGCTACAGCCAACAATTCTGAATAAAGTATGTGCTCTTGAGGCTTTGATACCTCTCTGCATTTTTAGATCAGAATTGATAGCGGACTTTATGACAACATGCGGAACCCAACTGCACTCTCTGACTGTGATGTGTATTTTTGGTACATTACACTAACACTGAAATATTGGCACATAGCTGGAAAAGATGTGCTAAGTGCTCTAGAAATAATGTGAACCCTGACTGAACTTTTATTAGGTTCTCCTATCATTTGGTCTTTTGACATCAGAACAAGAAAACCATTATTTACAACATTGTATGCAAAATCCCAGAAGGAGCAATGAGATTTTAAAAGAACAGATTTTTTTCCAAGTGAAAAAATCTGTCCTGTTGTGGTTTCCTGAACTAAATAAATTGTCAGACCAGAAAAACGTATCTAAAAAACCCTCATGTATTCTTCCTGGGGCTCTTCACAGTTATCCCCATCCAGAAGTAATCAGGATGCCAAATCCCAGTCTTGTAGTAGATTACATTTTTTCAAGATATTTATGTAGGTTTATTCATATCTGTAATCTGTCATAAACATATTCTTGCAGCAATAAGTGTTTTATAAAATGGAAATAGAAACAGTTTGTTTGGGTTTTTTTAATTAAGGTTAAACACCAGTTTTAATAACCTGTATCTTTTTGAGCAAATGATAAAAAATGTTTTGGGGACTTTGATGCCAGAAAATATTCCTATGAAATATAGCAGGTTCTGATTCAGGTGCCGATTCCAGTACATACAAATCCTTAATTAGCAGGTTACTTTAAGCAGAAGAGTGAGATGGATTTAAAGCTATCTAGACCAGGAGTTAACAAAGTTGTGCAGGTGTGGGCTGACCTTTGCCACTCTGCTGTGGACCATAAGTCTCCAGCCCTTGGAGCATCCAGCTGCCTGTGCTTCCCTCTGATGTTTCCCATCCCCTCAGCAGCAGCGAGGGTAAGCACAGGCTCTGCAGCGAAAGGGACCTCTGCAGAAGGGATGCGTGGCACAACTCGGCTCAGTGCCACCAATCCCTCATGCCAGACAGCACCTTTGCAAGTCAGATTGGACCTCTTTGCAGACTGGATCCTGCCCACAGGCTGTAGGTTGCTGAGTCCTGAACTAGCCTACTTGAAAGTCATTCATCTAGGACTGGGTGGATAATTTGTTCTGACAAAATTGTAAGGTAAATTCTGCCCATTCTCTCTTTGAAAATTATCCACCCCACAATTAAATTATTTCCATTTATTCATTATTAAAACTTATTTAAAGCTTTTTAATGCATCATTTGGGTCTGCAGCTCATTCATGAACAAGTTACTCGGAATATTTTACATTTACATTGCAGCAGTCAAGCTCAAATCCTGTACAAGCTCTGGAAGGTGTCAAATCAAGACTAAATGATATATAAGACCCATTGTATCATTCCTTTCTCTGGTTTGATTATTTATGTAGCTGAAAGTAGAATTACAGATTCAAGCGTTAAATTTGCAAATTGTGCCAGGTATCCAGGTTGTAGCCATATTGGTCTAGAGGAAAAAGCAATCAAGGCCCATGGTAGAGGTGATATATTTTATTAGACCAACTAGATTTTTGCAAAAAAAATCTTTAATGGCAAGCTTTCAGGTGCAAACACCCTTCATCAGGCATCGGAGAAAAAAATTAAAATTTCTCCTAGGTAGAAATGAAAGTTTATATTTCACAGGAGAGTTGGAGGTGGTAAAATCTCCTGTTTGGAAAAGTATATTCTATATGCAGATTAGGCTCAGAGAAAAGTTGGAATAGTCTGTTTACCTCAAAGTTGTTTGATGGTAAGCAGGATTTATTCATATTTCCTTCTGGTTATGGTGTTTCATATTTCACAGAGAAGTAAATAGATGGGATGCTTTTCTAGGCAAGCACTTCTTATCTGGTAAGGTATCTCTGAGCTAATAAAAAATATCACCTGTACCACGAGTCCAAATTTGCAAATTAAAATTCACTGTGTCTGTGAGTTCCTTATGCTGTTTGAAATTCCCGCAGCTACAAGGGATACACTCCTATGTGTGCAATTTGAAATTTTCAAATATTCAACCTAAAATTCACTTTTCTCAAATGCACTTGACTATTCACAGAAAACTTTTCAGAACATTAAAGCTCATTTGCCAGGATAATGATATGAAACATCATGAGCATAGTCAAAGCAAATACTTGAATAGTTTCAGATTTTTAAAGCAAGTAATAGGTTTCCCCTCTCAGCAACATGTTCATTTCCTCATAGGAGGGCGGGGCTATTCCTGTGGGTCAGGCATAGAAGTGGGAATACAAATCACTCATGCTACAAGGTTGTCCACGTCAACCATCCTTTATGTGGAACTTTATTGAAGTCAGTGGATTTCTGGAGGCTTTACTCTTTAGTGTGCTCTAGTGAATGCTTTAAGCTTGCGTGGACTGAGAGATGAATATATGAAATAGCACCTGGCTAGTTAGATGTTATGAGGTCCTGAAGGTTAATGGAAATAAATAGGAAAAAAATCAATATTCACTTCCCCAGTTTGGCATCCTTTGTGCATTTCTTTGTCAGGAACCTGGAGGATTCCTTTAAAATATATTGTTTATTTCCTTCAGGTTGGCGGTCATACTATGTTGCCCATTCGTTGGATGCCTCCTGAGAGTATCATGTACCGGAAGTTCACCACAGAGAGTGATGTTTGGAGCTTGGGGGTCGTTTTATGGGAAATTTTCACGTATGGCAAGCAGCCATGGTATCAACTCTCAAACAATGAGGTATGTATAATGCAGATGACAAAATGACATTATAGGGTTCAATCAATTGATGATGCTTTGGTGTGAATGTCATAAAGAAATCACACTCTGTTTGGAAAGGATGACATGTAAGCTTCATATTTATCCTTGCAATAACTATTGATTTGCCATATATATGATACTATCCTGAGTGTTGTACTCACTTTTCTTCATGCTTTTTTTTAAACCAAAATGTAAGGTTGTTGTACAGATAGGACTCAACCAAGCTGTAGAGTAGCTACCTTCCTCTTATGTAGACTGGAACTTGCCTTGGGTGAAGAAACAAGATGGCAGAGACAGGCCTAGCATCTTACCAAAGGAAAAGGCTAGAGTATCTCTGCACAGCCTCAAGTACATATTTTTATTAGTTTGTGTGACTAGATCAGGGACAATACTGTTGTTCCACCTCAGGCTACAATCAGTGGGGGTTGACAGGATTGGAAGTCCCTCAAAGTCTACAGCAACTAAAGTAGCAACATTCCCAGCAATTGATATCTGGGTCCTCAGTCCCCAACCACCTACCCCTGTGTTGCCTCCATAAAAAATATAGGATGGGATGATTCGGTTTGGCAGATGGGGACCTGCACTACAACAGCATAACCTGTTTTGCATGGGCAGTGCCCACTGCTGCTCTTCTGAGGTGGTAGTGGGTTGATGGGCAAGGAGAGAACTGGGGTGTACAAACTAAATACCCTTGCTGTACAACTGCTTGATGCTTGAAAATAGGAGAGGAAATCATCCTTCTGCTATTGCTACAAAAATGTAAAGGGCAATGCAGGGCAGTCTTTCTAACTCAGAAAGTTAGAAAGTCTTTCTAACTCAGAAAGACACTGCCCCCCCTCCCTGCCCCCCCCAAACACACATAATAAACACACTGGTCTGACAGGAGAGAACCTGGGTTTCAGGATTTGAATGCTACCACATGTTTCTGTTTAATGAAATATACTCATATTAGTGAAGCTGATGGTACATGGTTACTATGTCATTGGCTTCTACATTATGGTGTTTATCCCAGGTAACTTTCCAGTACACAGATGTTTATATGAAAAAACCTACCAGTCATTACCAGTAATTAGTGTACTTGTGCTTGGTCTCAGAAGACACTTGTGTGGGTCTCATGCTTGAACTGAGCCCTCAAAATGAACTACTCTGTCAGATGGGACATTGATTTTCCTTGGTTAGAATTTTGGGACCTTGATGGAACAGTTCTGCAAGGTTTATGCCACTGTACAAGAATGAGCTATTGTGTTGAGAGGATTTCAGCTAAGAGATCTGTCAGTGTAGCCCCTTTTATAAGAACTACTTGTTTACCAGGAAGGGTTGTGAATGTGAAGATGACATTTTAATTTATAACGTGGTAACTATACCAGTATAACTCCTTATGTGGACACTCTGGCCAGGTACAGACATTACATTTTTACCAGGATAAGTGATCAGAAACTGATCTAAATCCATAACAGTACAGAAGTTCAGCACACACAGACTGGTTTAAAAATGGCAGAACCTGGTCTAAGATTTGCGCACACACCCCCTTGCTCTCCCCAGGGCAAATGTGTGTTCTGTTCACTACCAATCTAAACTACACCACTTTCAGAAAACCATGTAACTTTGATTGACTCCACCGCAGGCTTTTTGAATGTCTGTACCTAGCCTCTTTTTCAGCTATAGAAGGGTGTTGTTTTTTTTCAGTGTGGCTTAAATTGCCTTGAAAGCAGCGTAACTTAACTTTTAAAAAAGGCCCCTTTTATTCTGGACTACAATTAATTCTTGTAACTGTGGAAACTTTCCACTGGGTCTTAATAACTTCAAAAGTGCCAGAAGTTTATTTCAAGAAGGAATCAAAGAGTTTGAATGCAACATCTTTTGGAATACAATATCTATGTATAATGGATTTGTACAATTGTGGGGGACTCTCCCTTCCACCATGTTCTCCTCAGGCAGCTTTCCTGGGATCCCCCACCAAAGGGAGTTCTGCACTGCCCAGGAGGTTAGCACAAAAAAGTTGTACAGTCTGAGGAGGTATTAATATTGCACAGATCCCATTTTTGTTCCAGGGGGAATAGTGTCCCTGTAGCACATCCCAGCTTCCAGCTTCTGCTCCATGCTTGCGACCTTCCATGGACAGATTACTGGACCTACAAAGGATTTGTGCATGAAGGGATGATGCCACAGAAGTCCTGTCTCCTTTCTGCTTTCACCAGTTAATGAGAACATCATTTGAGATGGTCTTCTCCCATTATCCTTTAGCTCTGTAAATGAACCTGACTGTATCAAGGGTTTTAAATACACCATGCAAGAGAGTCCCATACAAGAGAACATTTTTGTCCAAACATCAAATAGATATGATACAAAACACAGAGTGTGAAATTCCCTGAAATGTATTGAATTCAGCAGAGCCGTCCTTAACGGTGCAAGCTCTGAGGAAGCAATTGACTTGCTGATGATAGAGAGAGAGGGGGAATGGGGAGGCTGTCCAACATTTCATCACTCTGCTTATTCTTTCTTCGCTCTTTCACAGGTGATCGAGTGTATTACTCAGGGCCGAGTCCTGCAGCGACCCCGCACATGCCCAAAGGAAGTGTATGACTTGATGCTGGGTTGTTGGCAACGGGAGCCTCACATGAGGCTCAACATCAAAGAAATCCATTCTCTCCTTCTGAACTTGGCCAAGGCTTCTCCAGTCTACCTGGATATTCTAGGCTAGACGCTCCTAGCATTTCCTCTTGGGCTGAGTGAATGAATATGTTCAACTGCCGCTGAACTCCATTACAATGTGTTCTTAATTCTGACAGTATTAATGACAAAGATGCGGAGAAGCTTTCAAAGGGCAAGCAATGTGCACTTCTCCATCTGTAGACACAGTATTGACTTTTCAGACATTACTGAGATGTATCTCGTATCTCTTTCTCTCACACTTCTGTTTCTCTCATTTTTTCTCTCTTCTCTCTTTCTAATCAACCTGGCTTCTGCATCATTGTATCTCTGCATAGACAAAGGCCTTAAAAACCGAATCTGTTATATCAGCAGAGACTCCAATTTGCCCACCGCAACTAACAATGCCTTGTTGTATTCATGCCTTTGATGTGGATGAAAAAAAGGGAAAAAAATGACTCAAACTTTGGGACTTCTGCTGTACAGATACTAGGAGTTTCTATGGATTCACCTCTACTTTTTTGCTTTGCCATGTGGGTGGAAAAAGATGACTGGTGTTCTCTATGGGAAACATATTTCTAGCTGAGATAAAGCCAGATGGAAAGAAAACAGCATTGCATGATCCACTATATGGAGGAACTGTGGGATCAGATGGTATGCAACCCCACTAAAGACACTAAAATAATTTAATGGAAGGAAGGAAAGGAGTTGGTAAGGCTCTGAAAGCCTTTCTGAGGAGTAAAGAAATTGTTTAATAAAGTGTGTGCTTGGCTAGCATTTTCCATCACCAGATACAGTACAAAGGTCTGTGGAAAAGAAAAAAAAGATGCTGCCTGCATTGCACAAGATTACACAATGATATAATAAACTAAACACAACCCCCCAATTTTGTTTTATAGTAGAAAATTGTGATATCAGTATAAAAATGTTCTCCAGTTAGCCTTTGGTCACACAGGCTTATTAATGTACAGTATTAATTTCAGGGTCCAGTATTGAAGCTGAGGACTTTGATAAGATTAGGACAAGCTGTAGATGCAGTGGCAAGTTTATCATATACTGTGCTTGTCAGGCAGCATATCTCTACCCTTCTCCCTCCCCATTCCCTTTCCCCTCACTGTGCAAGCAAAATTGTGCATGGTCTTTGTCTATTAATGCCCTTTGTGCAGAAACTATCGTTCATCTTGTTGTACACCCTGATAGGCATAGCAAATCCATAAAGGTATAACATATATTTAATTAGAAAGAGCTAATGGAGGTCATTAGCTACGTTCAAGTGTCTTTACCTTGTTACAGATATGATAGGCCAATACTACACAAGTAATCTAAAACATGGAAATCATAGATTATGTTTGAGCCATGACAGGGGATGATAGAATTAAGTCCCTGGAGATAACTAGATGTGACTCTGTGGTTATCACTTGCTATTCAGAGTGTACAGACCCTGACTTCAGCACCACTTTCTGGTTGGTATAGTGGTGCCATTCCCAGCATCCACTGTTTCTTAATTTATTTATTTTTAGTTGGACATGCATTGTATGCATACAGCACATGCATGGCACAGTGTAGACGGCAAGCGCATGGGCATATATGTTATTTTTCAAACAGATGCTGAAGATTTAAAATTTAGATTTAGGATTATTTTTATTATGAACTCTTACAAATGGAAACCAATCGTACCTATTCCTCAAGAACATTTTGCCTCCCTCTGTGAGGGGGCGTTATTGCAAAAAATTGACTTTTTTTTAATAATATGAGCCAGATCAAAGAGTAATAGTTCTTCATCTTTGTGTTGTGGTTATTTTATTTAATAAATTAAGCATTTTTATTTTTCTAAGTGTTCCCATAACATTTTTAATATATACTTTGCTTGCAATTATTATTTATTATGGCACTTTGTTTTTCCTTAATAAGCTTTTAAAGCCAGTTCAAAAAGATTTTGAACATTTTTGGAAGTAAAACAGTTCACTGGATAAGCGATGAAGTTTAACCCTTCTCTCTGTCAGTGAAAAGAAGCATTACAAATAAACTTAACAATGAAATTATAAAGCCATATTCAGTATTTCTTTAATAAACCAGAAGTTATTTGTGAACCGCTATTGAAGTGTAAATACAAAAAAAAAAAGAAAAAAGCTAGAGGAAGATTGCTGTGAAATGGACTTTAAGATTTTATCAAGGCTGTCTTAGAAATTCAGAGAGAGAGAGAGAAAGTCTGGTTAGATGAAGACTGAACATTCAGCAAAACCCATTCTCATGAGAGTCTGAGTTATTTTTAAAGGAAACTTGAAATTCATTTTTGGTTTAATAGAAGGTAGACAAAAAGACTGAAAGCAACAGAGTCTACTGAGGCAACACTCTTAGTGTGAAGGGAGAGAGGGTCACGGGTTGAGATGGGAAGGTACCAAACTCCTTCCTGTTGTATTCTGCCATTGTTTCTTACAAAACCATGCATCCCCCTGTTCTCCAAGATACTGTTCTGTTGGAGAGAAGGCCATAAGCTGAAAGCAAAAAGGTGGGTTTTGCAAATACTGAAAGAACATATACCAAAAAAAAATCTGCAATTTGACTTAGTGACATCCCCTTTATACCTCACGAGAAGAGTATACTAGAGTTGTTAAGGAGAAAATAGTGTGTAACAATGCACTGTGCAATAACATACTAGTAAGTCAGACCTACAGGAGCAAATGTTCCATAGAGCCAGAAGCATGGATGTACTTGGCCTCTCTCATAAGTGTGGGCAGTAGTGTATAAAAGCTATAATCAAAGTAGACAAGTTATTAAGTAAAGTTAAAACAACTTTTTTGTTGATTTATGAAAGGGGGTGTAATTGTAGCAGAAAGGAGGAAGAATTACGTTCAAATGGCAATGAGGAGTGAGAGTATATGTATACATTCGTTACGCTTGCAGCTTCAGCTAAATCTTGTAAACTGAGCAAATATGACAATCAGTGTCATTAAAAAAATCTTTCTTGACTATGCTACAAACTGATCATATATATAATATAAATTATATATATGTATTTACATATGGAATGTATATATACATAGTACATACATATATGTATATGTGTGTTATAAAGATTTAATTTATACATATGCAGACAGGCATATACAGAATGTATGACTGTTTATATGTATAAATTTACAGACACATATTCTTACAAATGATAATTAGGATACAGTTTTATTAATAGGTTGATAAAGTCTGCTAAATAACCAAAATTCATTTTTTCTTTGATATTTCTTTTTCTATGTTTATAGGATTTATCTTTTTAACTTGGGTGGAGGAAATAATAGAATGCCAGAAATATAAAGAACAACCAACATTTTTGTCCAAAAGATTGTATAAAAGCAGTCCTACCATTCTCATCTTATCCATTGATTTCTCACAGGGAAATTAACAGATTGGCTTCAAAGTTCCAAGAAGAGATTTTGATTTACTATCATTTCTGGTTTGGGGGCTATTGATTTATTGTTCAAGGGCAACATTGCCATTCCATTGGCATTTACACTTGTTGGAAGTCACAAAATAATTCCAAGAATGAGCTGGAATATTCAGACTGATAGAACAATGGTGAGAACGTCCAAAACCCTGCAGTAATAATAGCAGCAGCTAGTACTGGGCATTTTCCACATTCTGTCCTTCACCCTCAATAAATCTGCAGGACTCAGCAACTGGCTGTGGAGAAGAGTATTTGTAAAGCAACAGCACCCCATGATGCATGATGGAGTGTACAAGTTTTACAAAGGAGCTCATTCATTTTGATTTGTAAACAAATATATCTCTATATTGTCTACAGTTTAATAAACAATTGCCATTTATTTCTCTTTCTCTCTCTCTTTCTCATACTCCTCTTTGGAGCTATTTTTGTTATGGTTGATGTAGACTTTTACAAAACAAAAGAGAAAAGAAATTACCCAACAAAATGATTGAGTCACTGGCTGATGAAGTTACAATGCACATGCGTTAGAACAAGACTGTCTGTGGGTTGCTGCAGCCTGTAAATGGATTTCAGATACTGCTATCAGGATACAAGGGGTGGGTAGGGGAGGCGTTGGGGTTTCTAGTTGAAGATGAAGGTTTTGATAGCACAGAAAGCTGTATTTTCTTGTTGTCAGGGCTGGGATGAACCACTGCTACTCTGAGTCAAGAGGTCTTTGAAAAGCCTTAGTTAAAACATCTTAACATCCTTTATTTATTTCTTTATTTATTTTGCTACATTCATCACAAATATGAAGCAAAAAAATGTCTACGTGTTGCAGGGAAAACACTGTGAATTTCACAACAACAACCAAGTGACTATTTTGCCATCTTTTTAACATACATCTCAGGAGAAGAAATGGGAAATGATGGGTATCTTATTTTACTGTCTATGCATTCTAGACCAGGTCTATGGTGTTTTTTGTTCGCTTGTTGAAGGTTATGAGCGAAGATTGGCTGAAATGTATTTTATAAACACAGAATACTTTGGGCAAGCATAGTAGAAGCTGCTTGTAATGGGGCTGTTTTACAGGAAGATGTAAGAAAACAAAAATCAAATCAATTTTTTTTCAGAGGCCTATACCTTGCAGCTTAATGTATCTTTCTGTAACTTAAAGAAACACAAATGTTGAATAAGCAGCTAAGAATGTTTTATATACAAGTAATTCAATTCAATGTGGATGTTAAATTACATCACCAATAGAGAGAGAATCAATTTACTATATACTTAATAGTCCCAGCCCAGCTCTCCACCTATACTTTATGTATATATTTCTAGATATCACTCTCTCTATCTCTCAAGACCGAGAGGGAGATATCTACATATAAATATAGAACTCTATATTGTCACTAAAACTGTGACCTGGTGTTTAGAGCTATCTTTCTCCTTTCTTTTTAGTTTTCTTTTTTTTAATGTAATGTCTCTGTGCAGCTACTTAGTGGTTCTTGGGTTGCAATTCGTTTATAGAAATCCATTGCTTTAAAACATCCATTGCATCTTGGCTGATTTCAAAGTGACGCCTGAGTATCAGTGTTAAAAAGTTTTGTTTGTGAATCATGTGACCAGCTTCTCTCAACATGACATGGAAAGTCTCTTGTACTACAGTGTATTTAATAAAAATGATGTCTTACAATAAACAGTGTCATCCAAAAGAACGTAAGTGATACAATAATGATTGCTTCAAAATGTATAGTTTTCCTGAAGCGTCTTGTCTTATTTGAATGCTTTTGCTTGCTTGCATCCTGTTTAAGGAAAAAAAAATGGTAATGATGAATAGTTTAATGTGATTGGAAACATGACATACTTGCACTCTAAAATTGTGCAAACTAAAAAGGATCCTGTATATGTACTACATTATTGTGAGTTGAAGGAAGAGTCTGAGAGGAATGGGCTACCTGCATGTACACTGTTAGGGCTAACTAAAGACAACCAAGCTATGTGAGAATATAAGCATCCATTTGCATATGGGTACATATGCCCTTCAGGGAAGATGAACATGTGAATGCTTGTTTGTCGCAGTTAGTTACCATGCAGTCCTGCAATAAGTTGCTTGCCAGCAGGTGTGAATATTTTCTGGAGGCTGTTTACATGCACATTTTCAAAACGTGTCTCTCATTAATCAACTACCAGAGTTGCTGTTTGGGTTTTATCCTTCTCCTGATTTAGCAGTAAAATTAGCAAAAAAGGTAGTATTAAGTTCAAGCCCTTGTGCACGGTAACTGAAAATGTGAAAGAGCAATATTCAGAGCAAGAACTGTATAAACATTCAGCATAATTTTAGCAAGTTGGTTATCATTGCAAGTTATTGATTTAATTTTAACCCAAGGCCTTTTGGCTTAAAGGAAAATAGTATCAGTGTCAGGCATTTAACTGCCTCATTGTAGGGAGACTTTAGTTGCCTAAGTTGCAGTTACGTACCTATAAGACATTTTAAATTAAGACCTAAGTGACTACAACTAGTTGCTTCTGCTAAGAGATCTATTTAAGATTGCAGGAGCTGTCAGTAAAAGTTCTACAGGTTTGAGGAAACATGATATTGTGAGAAGCCAAACCCAGCACAATAAATCATTCAATCATGAGGCTCAAAGGTAATTCAAGGGTCATTTAGTGTAACCTCCTGCACAAACATAGGATTCCTACGCCCAAAATATGCTTATGCAACCTCGTCTTCAAAGCTTCCAGTGAATGGGATCCCATTGTCCTACAGTTCTCATAGTTAGGGATATTTTTCATGAGACTTCACCTAAGTCTGTTTTGCTGTAGTTTGAACCCACTGCTTCTTGCCTGCTCTCTTTGGCTAGGAAGAATATTTTTTTCCATCTTTATGGCAGCCCTTGAAATATTTTAAAAGCGTTCTCCTGACTCTTGTTAATCTCTTGCTCTAATGTTATGAAATTAGTTTGAAGAATAATTGATGTGCTATCTAATTAGTTGTCAATTTATTATCCAGTCACCTACGGTCATAATTTACCTCCCATGTGTTGCCCAAATGGCTAGTTTCGTGCCCCTGGAGGCTAGACCAATTTCACCTCAAGGAGAGAGTCACACACAGGGTGAGTCCGTCATGAGTTTATTGATTGCACAAGCAATGTCGACAGAGGAGCTGATGCTCAAAGCAGTCAACCCCGAATTTCTCTCGGGGTTACACTTTTATAGCTTACATAAACAAAGGGCTACAATGTGTCATACAACTATTGGCAGTACCACAATTTCCTTGTTGTTACGTCTTATCTTATGGGCTAGGCTTAGTTTGCTATTGGTTAATATCTCCTGTTAAGTTTAGTGCATGTGTATTTCAAAAGCAGAACTGCGGCAAAAAGTTCTGTCGCATGCACAGAGGAAAAGGGGAACTGCGGCAAAGTTAGTGTCTTTTAGTAACCTTATACCTTAGTGTAACTTCAGGGCATTATGCAAGTATGGTTACAAAATGCAGAGCAAGCAGGAAGGAGCAAGCATTTCACGGTTGACGACTGACTGAACAGTTCGTTTCAGGAGGGCCATGATGCAGGGTATGATACAGGGAAGCAAACAAAGTGTTGTCATTAATAAGCAAAAGGCCAGCAACACACCTCTTAGCCACCCAAACTGAGGAAGCCAAGATGTCAGCCAATCAAAGCTCCACC